GCAGCTTACATACAAAACAATGTAACTCTGTCGACGGAGCGGCAACGTCGCGCTCGCGTCGCTGCACGCAAGCTTCATGACGCCTGCCGTACTTGCTGTCATACGCACAAATTATAAAGTTTCTGTTTATAGTACGGCACCAGTGAAACACTTGGATTTTAGCCCCAAGAAGTAAAAATTTTTTTTGATTTCGTCATGGTGCTCTTGGCAGCCTATCCATTCCAAATTATTTTGAGTAATAAATTTTTCGGATATATTTTTAATAATATTTCCTTTGTGGCAAGCATTATTTAATACCACATTACTTAAATCAACTAATTTTGAAAATGCTACAATAAATCTTGTACTGGGGTACATAAGATTTTTCCCTTTAAGGTGCTTTCGCTCCCTGTGTCTAATTAAATCATGGACACTAAGCTGCTGATCCTCATTATTTAAAAATGTTTTTTTGCAATTTTTACATTTATTCTGACACAGTTTTCTTATAATATATCCTGAAGTGTAACTCCTCGCATTTACATTTATTTTTTCTTCAAATATGGAAGAGACCATATTTCCTGATAAATTTACTTCAGATGAACAACTAAGGTTTCTATTATCATTACTATCGGAAACTGGTTGTTCTTCTGAAGCAAATTCCTCATTCAATAAAGTTGTTATGTTTAATATGGTCTCCCCCATATCATCTTCACAATTAAAATTTTTTGTGTGGATGGCCAGCATGACCGTCATTAATAATGATTTAAAAGAGTTTCGGAACGAAAATGTATCGGGGTTGGTATATCTATAATTATATGCTCTTATTTTGCCAAAGAAATTTTCAAGGGGGTCTTGATTTAGGTTTCTTGTGTAAAAGAAACTGACCCCCTCCGATTGCATTATTTCACTCAGTACATTTTTTATTGTAGCTTTTTCTAAAGAACTTTTTTGGAATGAAATGCATTTTTTTAAACTTCTTAATGGCTTCAATCCAAAATGCTTTGTGGGCACTATTCAGTTTGACTGGACCTCGTATTTTTCCTGGAGCCCTACCAGACCTCGAACCATTGCAACTGTCGAACAATTGGTCAAAGAAAGCAACTGCAAGTATTTTTTGTTGTTTCACTGATTTGTGTTCCGTCATGTCGCTGAGCTGGAACAAACAACATGAAATTAGAATTACTTTTACATAATGTATTTACTAACATGTAACAGGCATTCTTTACTCATGTTTATTACAAAATATTTTTTTATGAAATTAATAATTAAAATTTTTAAAATATGTATAATAATTTTTAACAGTGGTAGAGCTACGTGGCAGCTTTTGCTGTCGCATGGATGGGCCGGCTCGAACCGGGGTGGTACCACGACCTCACAGAAAACCAGCGTGAAGTAGAGGTTTACCTCTGCGTTTCGCTTGGTGAGTGCAGGTGGCCGGAGGCCCTTTTTACTGGAAATGAGGCATTCCATCTTAGTCCTCACATTACTGTACATTTTGATTTGTAATAGAGGATAGATGTAGATGTCTATGGGCCGCAGCAACCACTTACCATCAGGTGGACTGTGTGCTCGTTTGTCACCCTTATCCTATAAAAAAAAATTAAACAAGAAAAATCAATTTACCCCCAACGTTTATCTTTAGAGACAGTTGAGTTATTTAAATTGCGACAAACACAGATTCATAGACTGCAAATCTCACATAGAAGAAGTAAAAACTAAACTATCAAAAGTTGTATGATAAACAATATGATGGGCATAGATGGGATCATACTGTAGCCCAAACAGCTTGATGGATTTTAACATCACCAAAACTGATGGGTATCATCAGTTTTGTCTTAGTTGTGGATGTGACATAGGAAATTAAAAAGGACATAGAGTTAGCCTTTCACATACACAATCACAAACCCAATATTCCATTAATCGCTTTTTACATGGTAGTCCATAATGATATACATTGACCAAAGTATAAGAAACTCACAATTTCAAGGATTGTCTACAATACTAATACGATTCCCTTAAGTTTAGAATGCCTGAAAAAGTCCATTTAGTTGTAAGTACATAATATAACTATCCTAAAACCTTTACACCTTTATGTTTAAAAGATGAAATTCTTGATGCAACTCTAGCATATAGAAAACTAGAAAACCACCTTTTTAACTTTTATACGTGGTAGAGCCATGCTGCAGCTATATTTCTGGTATAGTTGTAACATGAATGGGTCGGCTCGACCGGGGAAGGACCACGCTCTTACAGAATACCCGCGTAAAATAGCAGTTAAACACTGCTGTGTTTCATATGGTGAGTGTAGAGAACCGGAGACCCTTTTTACTGGAAACGAGGCATTCCATCTTAGTCCTCACGGGTGACAACGCATCTGCATTTTGATTCGTAATCGAGGATAAATGTAGATGTCTATGGGCCACAGAAACCACTTACCATCAGGTGTGGACTATGTGCTCGTTTGTCACCCTTATCCTATATAAAAAACCATGATGAACTCTCCAAAAACACTTTAAAAGACTACCATAGTTAAAATATGAATAAAGTTACGCTTAATGAAAAAATAGGCAGTAGTTAACTTACAAAAAGTTGCTGTATACTGCATTGTGGCAGCTACACGTTCACTGAAGACTTGAGTGCAGTTCTTAACTTTCATCTTCTTTATTTTTTCTGGTATAACATGCTCATCTGACAATTTTGGGAGCATTCTTATATTTCCTAATTTACAGTCATAGTTGTAAACATTAACAATGTCTTCCCATTTTGTTAGTTTTCCCTCAAAAATTAAATTCTTATTCAACATGTTGTTGCGTAGGCCTTTTATTAAGTGTGGAGGGTCATAGATCACACTTAAGTTACTTCCCCCAATTAGGATACTACCATCTACAAAAAAATATTTCATTACAATGATGGGATATTATTTTTACAAAGTTTATAATTTTAGAAAGAGAAAAATAGGTGAAGTGCTCAACTCGAAGACTTTATAGGAGTTGTGCATTTTAGCTTTCACTCATTAAAATGTTTTCAGAACCTTTTGGTCTTAAAACCAAAACCTTCCATGCTCAAAAGTTTAATTTAACCCATTTTAAAGTAGGAATAGACATAATACTAGGTATATTATATGTATTTAATATTATTTTTTAAGCTTACCAAATTTTATATTATTTTGAAAACAATGTCTCTTAGTCTCTTCTTGAAGATCTTTAAGAGCACGCTGTGATGTAGCTCCCTGGTCACAAATGAAGGCTAAAGGCTTTAATCCAGATTCAAATACTATCTGAACCATATCCTTTAAAATATGTTTCAAGGTAGCTGCTGGTGTAGTTCCTTGGCAAAACTAGTAAGCTACTGGTTGTCGCTATGATGCACAAATACCTCTGAGCATCACTACCAAAGCATGGTCAGCAAATTTTGGGGGCCCATCTGCTTTAACAAACCCCTCAATTTCATCATTGCTTGCAACAAAATTCAAATGTGCAGATAACTGAACTTCATCAAAAACAATGCTGCACAGTTTTTTTGCATTACTCCATGTTTTGATTTTTTGTTTTAAAATTGCAAGTTTTCATTTATACCTTCTCCAAATTTAATATTTTGTAAAACTCTATTCAGAGTTCTTTTGGTTGGTAAAGAGAATATTTTTTGTAGAAGGGAATACCCCTTGGGGCTCTGTTTATACAGTGCAATGCTCATTAATTTTTCATCAATATTATACCTTCTTCCTTTTGAAGCTTTACCAGCAAACCTCAGCTGCAATGCTATAAACTTTTTTGGAAAGAAATCTAACTTTTCTATTAATTTTCTAAAACTTTTGGTATTGCTAAGAATTTCATGCTTGAGCAATGTTTTGTTTGTTATCTTCATTACTTGTAAACAATTGCTTTCTTTTAATCATATAACCTTCGACATCTTGGAGTTAAGTTGTTAATATTGGTTACAAGTCGAGGTCTACTTTTTACAAGCTTAATACATTTGTTTTTATCACCTGGAAAAAAATATGTATGAGTGATATTGTAATCAGTATTACAAATGGTTCATATGAAATAAATATTTTTATTTAACTGTTGGCATTGTTCTATCTTTTGACTATAATAAAGAACACATGTATGTAAAAACATTAACACTATGAAACTACATATTAAATTACAATTAATATGACTCTTATTTTACAATCTGGTATAAAGAAAGATCACTATGATGCTCAGGCATTTTGTGATCATAGTGGAAAATAAAGTATGAAATTATGTATAAACATTTAACATTACATTAATTTAAAGTAAGCTTACTGTGTTGAATTGTCAATGGCTTTGGTGAAATGGGGACATCATAACTTTGCTGAGAAGTTGATGGTTTTGGCGACATGGAGATGTAATAACTTTCCTGAGAAGTTGATGGCTTTGACAACATGGTGATTTCATCTGACACAGAAGTCTCTCCAGTATTTTCTCTTTTACTATTTTGTGAACCATCTAAATTAACTGCAATTAAAATAATTACTTTATAACTTTTTCTTATTTTTAATTGTATACCAAAATACAGGAAAATGAGTAGAGTTCTATCTAAAGTATAATATGAACAAAAAGCTTTCTTGTCACTCTGAAAGTGATCTCTCCCAGACGATGCAAAGGTCATCTGGGAGAGATCACTTATGCAAACAATAGTTAAAATCAAGGAGGGTGTACAAAAAAATGGATGAAAATATATATAAAACCAAGTGATATACACGCCACCTTGTTGTACAATAGCTGCTGTATTAATCCAGATGGAAAAAACATCTTGCACCTGAATGTGCTATGTGTGTTCATAATATTAATATTATACTTATTAAATATAGCACTTTATAATAAAAAAAATATATCATCATTTGAACTCTCCATAGCTCACTAAGTGACCTTGAGCTAATGTGCCCAGCAATGAAGGACCACATCTCAGATCCATGTGATATCAATGGTATTATGCACTAGTTGTATAATCTTGTTTTCAAGTTTTGAGGTATATATGACAAGATGTTTTTTTTTTATAGGATAAGGGTGACAAACGAGCACACAGTCCACCTGATGGTAAGTGGTTGCTGTGGCCCATAGACATCTACATCTATCTTTGATTAAGAATTAAAATGCAGATGTGTTGCGACACCCATGAGGACTAAGATGGAATGCCTTGTTTCCTCCGGTTCTCTACACTCACCATACGAAACACAGCAGCGTTAAGCTACTATTTTACGCTGGTATTCTGTGAGATGTGTCATAATCTTCACACGCTGCCCAGCTGAGTTGGATCCGTTGATTGATGTCTCGGTTAAAGTTGGACTTACTTAATTGGACAATTTGTTCAAGGTAAGAATATGTGTGATGTGTACATAATATATATCAAGCTAATATAAAAAAATATTTACCAAGCATGTATTCTTTACTATATTTTGGCTTTTTAATTATTTCAGGAGCTGCTTCTTCCATACCTTGCCTTCTTTTACAGTAAGTATGATCATAATAGTCAGTGATGGATTGACCTGAAATAAATATCACTTTAGCTATTTTGTAATATAAGAAATTTTTTTCATAAGAATATGCAATATATTTAGTATCATATTTTCTTCAAACTCTACTCTCATGGTTAATATTGCATTGATAAATAATTTAAACCACTGCCTCGGGTATAATTCAGTCTTTATCAAATATATTTCTAAATTTGGCTCTAAATGGGAAAGATATTTTTCGTACTTACTGGGTACTCCACAAGCTATTTCTTCTTCAGTCAGTAGAGTAGGATAACCGTGGTATTTCCTCGTGAAGCCGTCAAGATATTGATGTTCGAAATGCCTGATACAAATCTTCTTTTGGGCTAATTGTTTCGATGACAGTTGAAGAAGTTCTGGGCTATGAGGAGCGACATAAGAAAGCCAAAGGCTTTGCATGTTTTTGTCTCGAGGAAAGTAAAACAGTACTATATCCTTGGCAAGATAAGAGTTGACACAACACACGGTAATAGGCATTATTTAACCTTACGGCACTAGTAGATAATAACACCACAAAATAAGAATTCTATCTCTAAAATGAGTCCTGTCTCTTATAAGTCACTGAATCAACAACACCACAAAGATTCGACGAGATAACGGAGGAACTGAAGCTCAACTCAACGTTGCTAGTGAATTTGTAGAGCAGTAACCAAAAACAGTAAAAATACAGAAACGTGTACGAGTCTTATAGGGGGTTTACACGGGTGACTAAAGCCGCACGATTTTTGCCGCGCGGCGTAAATCGACCATCTAAATGGCAATTCGGCTAAGTTGCAAGTGACTAAAGCCGCAAGTCCCAAAGTTGGGTAGCATCCGACTTTGGCCGCGCGGCAACCAGCCGCAAGCGACTGGTGACTAAAATCGACCGTGTAAACGATCAGTTGCAGGCGATCGCCCGCCGCATGAAGGTGTTTCGCGCACGCACGTGTATTTATTTACTACAGCGTTTCTGTGTATATGTATCGTAACAACCATGAATAAAAATAACACCATACAGTTTTTGGAATGCTATGAAATGCATCCATGCTTATGGAACCCAAGAGAACAAGATTACAGGAACAATAATGTACGTTTAGCGGCTCTTAAATCTATTATTCAAGAAATGCGTTTGTCCATAACAGTTGAAGAGCTTAAATTGAAGATAAAAAATATACGAACCACGTATAATAGAGAGGCCAGTAAGGTAGCAAAGTCAAAGAAGAGTGGCGCGGGAAAGGATGATGTATACAGACCTCAATTAATTTGGTTTTCTGTAGCTGACCGCTTTTTAAAGCCAGTGATAGAAGGAAGAAACAGTAAAGATACCATGGTAAGTCTTATTATTATTTATTAAATAGTTATTCTTGTTCGCATATTATAAATTATAATAGGTAAATTGTGAACAGGGCCATTTTTATAATATTACTTAAATAAACATACAATATTTACGCAATCATTCTATCTTGCCATGAAACTTTTCCTGGTCCGACAAAATAGTCAGCATATCTATCGCGCAGATCTTTTGCATTTCGTGAATAGTTATTAGAAGATAGCGGTGTCATTAATTCGTCTACTCCTGCCGTAGGAATGCTTCTCCAACTTCCGTTTCTGATTGTCCCTGAACTGAAGTCTTCTCCGTCTACTAATTCGGGAGTATTCATGTATATGAGATTAGTCCGAAGCCAGTTATGCAGCGCACAGGTCGCTTTAATAATAGAATCAGTTTTATCCAATGAAACAGATATAGGTTTTCTGTATACTCTGAATCGTGAAGCCATTATGCCAAAGGCATTCTCTACGATTCGGCGTGCTCTTGATAGTCTGTAATTAAAGATTTTTTGTTTGTGTTCCAAACCTTCATGTCTTGAATACGGTTTCATTAAATAGGTTGCCAAAGGGAAAGCATCATCACCAACGAAAACTGCCTTATTAGGTAGTTCTAAATTATTTCTTTCAAGAGCACTATAGAACTTTGTTTTTTTCCAAATATGCGAATCATTCATGCGTCCATTAGTTCCGAAATCTATATATATGAAACGGTAATGTGCATCCACTATAGCAAACAACACCACACTATAAGTGCCTTTGTAATTATAATAGTCTGTTGCTCCGTGTGGTGGATTTTCGATTAATACGTGTTTCCCGTCAATAGCCCCACAGCAAAAAGGAAATTGCCAGCGATCTAAAAAATCCTTTTGTATTTTCTTCCATTGATCTGTGGTGGATGGCACCTAAAAGAAATAAACTTATATTAGTGTATGGTTACAGGGAAAAGATTCAGCGGTGAACACACACAGCGACGCATCTTCATATTTTGATGAATTGGAACAAGAATCTAATATTGCGGCCTTACAATAGAAAAAAAAATTGTCTCCAAAGAAAAAGGCGGAGCGTGCTCCAATGGACGCACCTAAAATGGACCCACCTGTTTTACAAGCAGTCAATAGATTAGAAACTTTGGCTCAAACTATCCGTCAAGATGAATTTGATACATTCGGAGTACATGTGGCAAGCCAATTACGTAGTTTGCCATTAAGAAATGCTATTGTTTGTCAAAATTTCATTAATAATTATTTGTCACAAGAAAGACTGAAAACCTTAAATACACAACTTTTTCCAATTGCTAGACCTACGAGTTCACTCTCAGAGTATACACGCTATACTTCGACTCCAGAAGCCGAAGCTACTACTTGCCGAAACCAAGCTTTTCAAAACCAGCGTGAAACTTCGACTTCCGAAGCTTCCACTTCTAGAAGGCACCTCGATTATGAAGAAGACTATTTTGCCAGCTGTTTATTAACACAAGAAAATACTGGGGGTTGGCTATAGATATCCGGTACTTGATTTTAGTTATGTTTTCAACTTAGGAGGCTTGTCAGGGTTAAGCATGAACATTTTAAACTGTTTTTGAATGTCGGAAATGCGTTTTTAATTAATTATGACAAAAATAAATTTCAATAAAAATTCCGTATAACGAAACGCAAATATGACAATTTCGTATAGTGTTATGAGATTAGATGTCAAAAACAGATGCAAAAAGTGTGAATCGGAACGGTTGTTGACGGCCATGTTGTCGGCAACCGTAAATGTCAAATATAATATATTATCTATGATGTCAAATGTAAATTGTCATTCCGTTTCTCTAGTAGTCACGCGAATGTTCTTTTTTGTGCTTAGTGCTGTGTTTTCCCTGTTTTTTCGACGACTTCTGCTCTGTTTTTGGCCTTCTTTGATTGCCCTTACGTTTGACCTTGGCTTTGTTTCTGGTTTTGATTGGATTGCATTACTTTGGACTTTGGCTTGCTTACCGGACCTGAGAATGAGCGATTACGAACCCGTAGCGGGGCCTTCTTCGGCATCTGACGCTTTACTCGAGGAACCATCACACATCGACGAAGACTTCTCTGGCGACGGCGACTATGTGAAGCGTCGACTATACGTGTCTGAGATTATGTTCATGTGGAATCTGTCGGATATTGTGCGTGAACTTGGAATGAACGAGCAATGTGTTCGATATAGTGACGATGAAGGGCTGGTCCTAAAGGAACGAAAGTGCGGCAAACATAAAACTAATATGAAAATTTCATACTCAAGTGGCTGCAAATCGCTTGGTACTTTCATATGTGCTAAAGCATCCTGTAAGGGGAAAGCTGGAGGCAGTGGAGTTAAAATCTCACGACGACTAGGGACTTTTTTTGAAAATGTAACTCTTGATATGCCCCACATATATTACCTCATATATGCATATTCACAAGGATGGTCTTATAATCAAACAATCCATGAAGACCCATATAAACGACAGAGACAACAATGTTTAAGCCCAAATACAATATGTGATTGGTACAATTACTGCAGAGAGGTAGTTGTTATTTACTACCTCGAGAAACAGAATCAGTTTACTGGAAAGATTGGTGGCCCTGGTAAAATTGTACAAATTGATGAGAGCAAATTTGGAAAACGAAAATACAATAAAGGTAAATATAAGTATGATTATGTTTACACCTTTTTTTGTCATACTAAATGTCTAATATTAGTTTTATTTGTTATAGGACGTCACATCGAAGGCCACTGGGTGCTCGGTATGATAGAAGATGGGTCTGAGGATCTCAGACTAGAGGTGTGCCCGGACAATATTAGGTCTGCTGAGGTACTGGTGCCGCTTATACAGAGACATGTGGCGGCGGGTACCACAATTCATACTGATTGTTGGCGGGCATATGATTGTTTGGCAGAACACGGGTACACACATAAAAAAGTTAACCACTCAGACCCAGACAATCCATTTGTGGCTGAAGATGGGACTCATACACAACGAATTGAGTCGCAGTGGAGAGCAGTGAAGAGGTTTTTTAGAAAACAAAATTATAATAATTCTCAAAGTTTTACAGACGTGATAGTAGAGTATTTGTTGAGACGAAATGTAGAAAAGTTTAAAAAGGATCCATTCAAAGAAATTATGCGAGCAATAAAGCATGTGTATAAAATAAATTAAATAATTAAAATTACATTGTTTCATTTACCACTATCATAGCAGAGTTTAGGGAAACCTGACTTTAGATAAGATAGATCGAATTTGTACTAAAACTGACTCAGAACACCCCGACTCCACGTAGTCTTGTCTGCCCTACCCCTAGAGTGTTTTTTAAAGCCGTAGGCGCGGAGGGAAAGCAGCCCCCGCCCGCTGTAGCAAATCGCAGGCCCCCGAGCGAGTCGTAGTGGCTGAGGCTGGTCGCCGAAGGCGACCAATAAGCCGAAGCTGCGGAGGTGAGCATGGGGGCCTGCGATTTGCTACGCAAGGGCGATGGGGCTGCATTTCCCGTAGCGCCGAAGCCGTTACAGAAGTAACTTTGTGTTAATATTCCTATGTAAAAAAGTGAGGTTATGATTTTACAAAAGAAATTATTACTCATAAACTATACATTTCCGCAAGCGGGGCTTCCCCTGACCCCCCCCCTCCCCCTCCCAACCTCGTAGGCGAGTACCGGATGTCTATAGTTTAACCAATACTGGGCAACAATACGCAGTGAACGACGATATTCTATCTCAAGCTGTTAGGTCATGCTTATAGATGAAAACACAACGGAAAATTTATAAATAAATCGTTTATAATTAATTACTAGTTTCACTTACCATAAGAAACTCCTGTAAAACATTGTATATAGCATCCAAAACATCCTTCAAAAACAAGGAAATTGTGCATTCTGGAACTCTAAATGACTCTGCAAGACTTGAATAGTTATCACCGGTAGCCAAGAACTTCAGGGTTATTTCTAATTTAATTTTCGGAGAAAGTGCTACTCGCATATTGGTATCGCATTTTTGTATAAGCGGAGTAACCTTATGTAGTAAAGTATTAAACTGATCAGTAGTCATTCTTAATCGTTTTTTAAAATAATCAGGATCTTCTAAACTCCACTCAACCAATAAAGTATCCGAAAGCACCCAAGTCCTTACGTCGAGAAATCCATCCACGTACCCAAATATTACATTTTCTTCTTTCCTTTTGTTTTTTCTTCTCTCTTTGTTCTTTAAGCAATTGTTGAATAATTGAATAATTATTTATTTCAATTCCGGCACAAACGGCTATTCTGCTCAACATTTTCGATGGAAATGACAGAGCCGCATGCGATTTTAGTAATCTGTGTAAATGGGCTAGCGATGCGGCTTTTTGAGGCAATTAGTGAAGCGACTCGCCGCACGGCGAAAAACGACCCGTGTAAACCCCCCATTACGAATCGACAGCGATTTGTAAAAAAAGATGGATGTCAAGTGTCAACATTTTTAACTATGACATTTGTCAAAATGGGAAGTCTGTGGCGCCACCAAGTGTTGATTTAAGAGTGCCCTCCAAACTCTTAAGTTTTAAGAAAATGTTCTAGGTGTCAATGCCGTGGTCATACGCCGGGGCGTACATGGAGTGAACGCACGTGTTTTTTATTGTAAAAAATGGCGGGAACGGCTGCCAAATTTGTTCAGATAATAGAAAAATATCCGTGTTTGTAAAACAATAATCTTGTTGAATATGCTAGAAAAGATTTAACTGAAAAGGCTTGGAGTGAGGTGGCAAAAGAAATACAATGGACGGGTGAGCATTTGTTTTTATTTATTTTATAGTAAAATACATAACATTTATTCAAAAATGCAATTATTCTACTGCCATGGCAGAGCAACATTAGGCTGCAAAAAGTAATTTGCTAAATAATTACGTAAACCGTTAGGCGTGTTTACAAATGTCATGTTTGGTATCAAAATTGGTGCATGTCGAATATTGGACACATTAAAACTGTCTGTAGTCGTTGTGTATTGCACACCATCATATCTTCGTATGTAATTATGCAAAATACATACGCACTGTATTATTGAAATTATTGTTGAGTATTTAAGACATGATATAGCTTTCATTAGTACTTGAAACTTTTGTGTCAACATACCAAAAGTGCATTCAATACTTTTTCGTCCGCGACTTAACCTATAATTGTAAATTCTTTTCACATTATCCAGATTTCTTACTGAATAGGGTCTCAATAAATTTGTCCTTAAAGGGAATGCATTATCTCCCACAAAGTAATAAGGAAAACGATTGCCTGTGGCATCATTTGGCAATGCTGTTGATTCAGTTGGAATGTTCAAACCTTCCCTTTCTAACCAATGCCCAAGCGCTGATACTTGAAACACGCCACCATCACTATTCCGTCCGGCAAATCCATATTCTATGCTGGTAAAATATCCATCTGCATCACAGCATCCAAGCAAAATAATAGAGTGATAGCCGTTATAATTGTAGTTGGCTGAACCTGTGTTTGGAAATTTCTGTATCCTGATATGCTTACCGTCGATCGAACCCAAGCAATTGGGTAGATTCCAAAGTTCATAATACCTTTTCGCAATTTCTTTCCATTCATCAGTAGTTGGTACAGGCATGTATGTATGTATCCTTCAATGCATTCCATATTATTTTAGTTGTTTCTGATATCACACGCGACACGGTACATTCTCCTCGGGCAAAGTAAAGTCCCAATGCTCGAAACGAACAGCCTGTAGCTAAATACCTGGAAAAAATATGTTATTAGTTCATTTATATTAAATAATAAAAAGTTTGTTGCAGTTAACGATTGTAAGGAAAAATGGAAAAATATTAGAAATGGTTTTGTTAGAAGTTTAAAACCGAAGGCTAGTGGATCGGCAACTACAAAAAAAATACTATTTACATGATGAGATGCAGTTTATATTACCATACGTCAAACCAGTTCACATGAATGAAAGAGGAAATTTACCAAATCCTGAACAATCCAACTCTAAATCAGGAGACCCCTGCGTGCCCCGAAGAACAGGCATATGTTGGTCCTAACAGGAATATTACAGACGACACTGAATCGGAGAATTATTCCCATGTTGAGAGGTAGTCATTTCAAAAACCAAAAAAAGGATTAAACCTGTTAACAACGAAGCTGATAAAGCTTTTGTAGACTGGTTAAAAACAAAAGAAAATAAAACAGATGACCCACGAAAAATATCTCTGCTGAGCTTGCTACCCGACATACAAAGTCTTACAGATGATCAAATGAGTGTATTTAGAATTAAAATGTTGATGCTTTTGGAAGAAATTTTCACAAACACTAGCATCCACACCTTCTCCAATAAATTATTCTAACGACACACAAGTTTTCTCTGACTATTCACAAACACAAATTACCACATTAAACCCTATTAATTATTCAAAAAATATTAATGATTTGGAAGATTTTACAATACAATAAAAGTTCACGGATGCGACATACATGTTATTTTTTTTAAACTGATATTTTGGATGGAAAATATAAACCATTTTGATTAAAATATTGTTTTACTTACCGCAACGTGATTAATATCCTTTCATCTGGGCTAACACATTCTCGCATATTGGTATTCTGTTTTTGTAATAATGGTCCTACGATCTGAAGTAAATTTTGATAAGTTGTTTTACTCATTCTATAGAATGAGTGAAATACATCTTCTAATAATTCTCTTGCCGCTATGAACAATCTACAGTTGATATTTCTTTCTATATATGGATGGGTCCAATATAATCGTCGTTTTCGTCGACTTCGAATGTAGTGATAAGCCAAAAT